AAGCTGGAAGGCAATATAACTAAACGTCCTAAATTTTCTATGTGTGTATCTCCCTGTACTGCATCATGAAGATCCACATAATTTTCGGCACGCAACTGTCTCTGATGAGTACGAATGAATACTAAACGCTCTGTTTCAACTTTTGCGTACATATCAACAATAAACTGGTTAAATAAGCCACGAAATCGTTGTAAATATACAAAACGACGTTGTCTTATTTGCATGAGATAACAATAAAATTGCAGAGCCGAAACTTTTCTGTCTAACCGAGGTGCTCCTGTAGCGGGGTCAACTTGATAAACCGTAAAGTTGTAACCATCTTCACCGCGACAGTAAATAAGTGGGTATTGTAAGGAGTCGTAAGAACGATGAGTCTCACTAATTCGTTGCAGGCGGTCATCACGCGTGCGTACTATAATGTCGCGCTTGTCGCATTGCTGATCCACCAGGACAACTGCCACTTCATTGGTGGATGGAGAATTATAACGGCCGGAATGTTGCACTAAAGGTCGCTTATCCGCGCTAATAACAAACTTATAATTATCGTATTCATCTTGAGGGATCGACTCTAGTACAGCTTTGAAATTGGATACATAAGGGTTGACCTGATGAAGCATGCCCTGAAGCTCTGAGATAACATTAGCGTTTAAATTTGGGAAATTCTGCCTCCTTATATTGGCTTGTTCATGGTAATCAGAAACGAAATATATTTGTAAAAACTTTGGTTCTGTCTCAGGCAAAAGCGAACCAATTAAGTGGTAGACTTGCCCCTGCACTTTAAAAGTAGGCATAAATGTTCCATGTACCACTTGCTTGGCCCCGAAAGAAGTCATCTGGAATGCCCCATTGTATGAACGGATATTGTCTAAAAACTGCTTGGAATGTGGATGGTCCCCATTAAGTAGCGATTTAAGAGGTTCTGGGGGCTATTGAAATATTTCCAATTGTACCTTGCCAGCTGAACAGCAAAATCCGTTTGATTCTTTAGACCACTTAAGTGATTGACAATGACTACAAGTGCGAATCATTCTTCCGATCTCGGCAAATTCACTATAGTCAATATTAAAAGTGTAGGTAAAACCACTATTTTCTTTATCAACCCAAGGGAGATCAGTGTAGTTCTCTCTGTCCATAGATGGCGGAGTAAAGGTGGGTGAACGATTTATAAAAGTACGAATACGATCAGCTTGTAACCGAATTGCACGTTCACTCTCTGTCTCGTTACTCCTAATTGCTTGCACTCTTTCCCTTTGTAAAGACAAAAGTTCGTTACGGTGTTGAAGCGAATTTTCATAATATCCCCTTGCCAATTCTAAGCGTAAGTCATGCTCCTGCTGGGTTTCATGTGTCCTACTTACCGAACGGCTCTCCCTATCTGCTGCTAACCTCGCTTCATATTGAGTAAATGATTCCGAAGCACGTGATCTTGCATGACGTTCCCGGTCTGCAGTCAAGCGTTCCGAATATTGAGTTAGCGTTTCTGAAGCGCGAGACTCAGCATGACTTTCACGGTCTGCAGTCAACCGTTCTGAACACTCCGTAAATGTTTCCGAAGCGCGAGACTCGACATGACGCTCACGATCTGCAGTCAAGCGTTCCGAATATTGAGTAAACGTTTCTGAAGCGCGAGACTCAGCATGACGATCACGGTCTGCAGTCAAGCGTTCAGAATAATGAGTAAACGTTTCTGAAGCGCGAGACTCAGCATGACGTTCACGGTCTGCAGTCAACCGTTCTGAACACTCCGTAAATGTTTCCGAAGCGCGAAACTCAGCATGACGCTCACGGTCTGCTGTCAAGCGGTCTGAATATTGCGTAAACGTTTCTGAAGCGCGACTTTCAGCATGACGTTCACGGTCTGCAGTCAACCTTTCTGAATGCTCCGTAAACGTCTCTAAAGCTCGAGACTCGATATGACGTTCACGGTCTACTTTTAAACGCTGAGAGTAATTTGTTAATGTTTCCGAAGCGCGAGACAACGCGTGACGTTCGCGATCTGTAGCTAAGCGCGTTTCATTATTAAAACTGGACTCTGATGCCCGAGATTCCGCAGTTTGTTCTCTATTGTAAGCTAAACGGTGCTCACGGTCCTCATTTGTCTCTTGCGATCGAACTTGTCTCATCCTTTTAGCCCTTCTAGTGTATTGAGAAAGACTACTTTTCTTTTTTTGCGGCATTATTTAAAATTTATTCAACAACCAAAACACAAAATAAAATCCTTATCCGAAAATGTAATCACGTATGTAACAATTTAGTGATCACTTAACCTTAGACTACAATAATAATATTATTTAATTCAATTTAATTTAATTTAAATTTAATATATTATTACAGTCTAAAAAATCCAAACAACTAATTCCGTATCGTAAGACAAAATATCAGAAATCCGTAAATCCGTAATATGATGTCATGAAAGGTAAAAGAATAGAAAACTTAGCACACAGTATTATAGTATTATCACAAATATAACAACTTTTACAAATTATCATATTGAGTAGATATAAAATAATGTGTCATTAAGAAAACTCACGAAAAATCTTACCTACGCGAGGTAGATGTTCAGCAATGACATCTAACGGAACGTAACGGAAAATAGTGAAATAAAACAATTATCATTGTACCAATATATATTTCATAAAAAAAAAATAGTTATATTCCTATTATAGGATAGAAAAGGACCTAACTAAAAATTATAATTGTTTATTATGTATTTATACAAATAATATATACAATTTAAATAATATATACAATTTAAATAGTCGCCGTGAAGTGACGTAGTTAGAGAACCATACTGTTTAATGAGGGCTAATAATTTTCTGCTCACCAGATGTCGCTAGTTGACACTGAGATAAAGTTTTTTGTTACACAATGTCATTTAATGGAGAAGTAAGTTTTTAATAAAAGTTTATCAGTTTCTAGAGTATTATACTAATACACAAAACAATGAGTCAGTGGTTTGCTGTTTAATTTTTTGCACATTTTTAACTTTTTAAAATTTTTCTACTTTCATGAATATTATGTATTTTTAATTTTAAAAATATAAAATATAGCAACAGTACAGAAAGAAACATTAACCTTTACATTTTTCGAACAAATTAACTTCCCCGCCCTGATATCTGTCAAATATTATACCTCACTTCACCTTCACAAGTGGCGCCACACTGGTGGCAGAAAAAGGTGTGGATGCCGTCATTGTAACTTACTTTTTCTTAAATGGCGCTATTATGTATTTAAATTAAACTTGATTTTCATAACGATAGACAAAATTTAAAAGCAATACATACATATAAAAAGCTTCTATAAATGTTTATATTTTTTAATAAAACTTTAATATGTATAATAAATAATTTATTAGTGCCTGAAGGGAAAACGTAACACTTTTTGCATTTTAATAATAGATGGCACTGTCTTATAAACATACAACGTAGTCGGTGAAGTTTTAAACTAAGTTTCAACGGTTAACATAGTATATTAAGCTTCAGTTATAAATATACATTACAAATAAAACTTTAATATGTATAATAAATAATTTATTAGTGCCTGAAGGGAAAACGTAACACTTTTTGCATTTTAATAATAGATGGCACTGTCTTATAAACATACAACGTAGTCGGTGAAGTTTTAAACTAAGTTTCAACGGTTAACATAGTATATTAAGCTTCAGTTATAAATATACATTACAAATTAAGAACTTTATGTAATCTACCTTAAGACTAATGACATTTTATGCACTTATTATAAAATTATAAAATTAACTCCAAAGAAAGGTAAAAAAACATAACCTTCTTTTTTTGATGCTCCGTAATCGGATAAAAAGTAGCCTATAAGTTGCCCCGGGTTCTTAACTACCCACTTACAAAATTTCATGTAAATCCGTCTTGTAGTTTATGAGTGAATCCGTAATACACACAGACAGACAGACAGACAGACAGACAGACAGACAGACAGACAGACAGACAAAAATTCTAAAAACTACTAATTTGGTTTCAGTACCGCTTGTTTAGTCCCCTGGACTTGTTTTTTTCAAAAAATAATAGAATTACAGACACGACTTTTCTACAGATTTATTATATGTATAGATTAGGAGAAACTTTTTTATTCTACACTTTTCTAGCTCTTTTGACCGTATCCCCTTCGATAAATCTTAAAAAAAACATTGGGTAGAAATAAAAATCTGGGTTACATGAAGTTCAGTTTTACCCCAAATTATCCAAAACCCTGTCAACTTGAAGAAACGAATGCCCTACCTAATTGAGTAGATTTACCTAAAATAGTGCAAAATGTCTAAAAGTGAAAACACTGCACGGACGCACGGTACGCATCGTTGGTCACGTTAGTGCTCCATAAACATTTTAGCACTAATGAGTCGGTGCCATTTTGTTTGTTAAATGACCCGGTCCATATGCAGTAGTATAATAAGTCTATGGCCGACACTAATGAAACTATTAGTGTGCAATTTTGTGCTGATTTACCTTAAACGCGAGAGTGTAGAAAAACATCCTAAGAAAAGTTGAGATATGGAGTCTTCTAACAAGCATTGGGCCAGCATGGCGGACACTTCCCTGGCACATCCTCTCGAGATTGACAAAAGGCCTATACTCAGTTGTGGCCCATATAAAGACTGACTTTTTAATATAATAAAAGTGGCAAACGACACCATCTGATGGTAAGTGGATGCACTTATCCCTGATTAATAATCAAAATGCATATTGCTTTATCATTCCCGAAGACTAAGATATAATGCCTTGCTTCCAGTAAAAAGACTCTCCGATTCTCTACTCAGTATACGAAACACAACAGGATTAAGCTGTTATTTTACTCTGGTATTTTGTCAAAGCATGGCCCTTCCCCTGTCGAGCCGACCTATTCGTGCTACAACCATAATACAGTTGCAGCGTGACTCTACCACGTACAAACATGACTAATAACGATAGATAGGACTGGTAACGTCACTATTTGTTGAGGAAAGTTGTGGATGTTGATGTGTCGTGTGTGGTCAGGGCGCTGTTCGAGCTGATGGTGAAGTCGATGGTGGAGTACCTGTACTGGAGTGGGGCACACGAGGCCCCCCGCAAGGCGCGCTTCCCCGATCACTTCACCGACGATCTCACCACGCTCGTCAACAACGTCACCTCCGAGATTATCTCCAGGTATGTTTGGCTCGTTAAATTCTACATACGTTCCATTTCTCACAGGGTTAACTGGTAGAGTATTTGCTTTAAGTCCAACAAATTAATTGGTAAAAATAGTATAACACGAAAGTAATTCTTCAAGGATAATATCTATTAAAAAAAAACAGAGATGTAAATGAATATATTTTAGTGTTGCATTTTGGTTTCATCGAGTTTAAAATCACACGTATCTAAAAGAAGTTTACACTTATAAAATTGGAAATATGGTAATGGCTGAAGATATAAGCACACGCGGCGTGGTTGGTGACCGATTGTGAACTGTCTTATTAGCTGTTGCGGCATTAAAATTATAAGTAATTTGGATCGGCATGTAAATGTTGACTGCGCGCGCTCTATGTTCGTACATAGAGAATGCCAAAAATCATTTAGGCCATCATTTGTGACCCTTAGATAAAGGAGTTTACATTAAAGGATAGATATATAAATAACTCTTTACATCCTAGATGTGTTGAATAATAACAAAGTTTCACGCCTGTAATCCCACAGGGGGTAGGTAGAATCCGGCAAAAACAACAAGCTACTGCTAGCTGAAGATTTAGATGGAAAATTATGAAAAAATAGTGGCTATTTTCTATACATTGGACCATCATCTACACAATCCCAACCCCAATAATCCATTGGTCACCTTTTACGGCATGTTAAGCAAGTAACACAATTTGCACATTTTTTTTATAAATGCCAGATCAATTTAGAATCTATAAGTCACAGACCAATCATAATCATTACCGTTACAGCCTATGAGAGGCCAGTGCAGAACATGGGCTCCCCCATTAAATGCCACATAGAGGAATTTCGCCATTGTTGCTATGCTTGGTGGGCGCATTGGGAACTGCAGGTTTTTTATTACGACACCTACGGTATGATAAGTGGTTGTGGATATTCGCTGGAGATACGCTGCTATTGCACAGCAATTGGCATATAGAAGATGTGAAACTATTATCTATTACAGATCATAAAACTTTTCTTATCAAAACTATCTGTAGTGGTGTTTCGAGACTCACGGGACGTAATAGAGCGACGTATTCTCTTAAGGCTAGGTAAGACAAAATATCGTATTTTAGATACGATCTTTACGCACGAGAACTAATACTTCTTGAAATAATATATTATGTTTGGAAAAAAATATGCGTGTACATTAAATACTCAATTAAATTCTTAATCGCGTGCATTGATTTTTAAAATACTTTATATTACCTAGTCGGGTTAAAAAAGGTATAATTTAATTGAGGGAAAAATATTTGACTTTCTTTTTGTCTTTTTTTTTAAATCAAAACCAAATAATATTTTTCAAAAATATCTAAAGGGCTTGTTAATGAATTAGATCCTTAATTGGCTACATTTTCATTTTGATCCTTTATTTTCTTATAATCAATAAAAACGTTTCAGTTTGTTCTATTAAGTAACTTTGTTCACCTACAGTCGTTCGCTTACCTAGTGCCGAAATATGCATGATGGATCGCCAAAAGCTTTTTAACGTAGGAAATCTTCACTTTAAGTGCTTTTTATATTCTCGTTGTCTATCTCCTCCTCTTGTTCACTCCTCCTTGTTCGCACATTTATAAATGGATGTTTTTGGCGATACAGCTATGGCAAGAACAGCCGGCTGACGCAGAGCCTGAACAACAGCCTGGCGTTCTTCCTGTTCGACCTGCTGAGCGTGATGGACCGCGGCTACGTGCTGGGGCTGGTGCGCGGCTACCACAAGCAGATGAGCGCCAAGATCGCCTCGCTGCCCGACGCCGTGCCGCTCGTGCACTACAAGGTGCGCCGCGCCCCGCACCTACAGAATGTCCACTCACCCTTTCTCCCACTTATTCCTACAGTTCTGCATTATCTCACTCCGGTAGGTTTTGAATAGACAGTTCATTCTTTCTAAGTGGATGGACATATGTATATGTCATATTTTATCTCACAAATACACAAACTACATCTTTCACGTCCGAGGGCGACACTGAAAGTTTTTAGAACTGGCCACTTGCAAACGATATAATAAAAAATAAGCTAAAATTTTAAAAATGGAACTCTGCCAATATTGTTGTGTATGTATTTTATTAATTTGTTATTTGTTTACTATTTGGCGGCAAATTGAAAATTGTCTGTGTCACGTCAGCATGAATTTAACGCGAGAAAATTTTCGTACAATGATTTTTTATGAATTTCGATGTCACTTAAGTCAACAAGAAAGTTGTGATAGACTTCGATTGACCTTTCAGAATGAAGCCCCATCTCGTGCCACTGTTTATAACTGGTTTAATGAGTTTATACGTGGTCGCACTAATCTCACCAATGATCTGCGTGAGGTACGGCCTTCTATGGTGACTACTGAAGATCACACAGAACATCAGTGTTGTGCGGCGTATGATAGAGACTTACAAAACAGTGACTTATACAGATTCGGACAAGCTTAGGCATCGGTATGAGTCAAGTGCACAAAATCCTCCATGGACATTCAGTGGTCAGGAAGCTTTGTGCCCGGTGGATTTGACAGAGGCCTAAAAACTCCGTCGTGTTGATTGGTGTCGTGAAACGGTTCAAAGATTTAACGGAAGTGACTCAAACGCTGTGTTCAACATACCAGACAGCAGACAAGGAAAGTGACGAGAGGTCAAAGGGTGGGGAAAAAAGATGGCGGCTTCGTTCTTCGGAAGGTCAGGTCATTACGCAACAATTGTTTTAGAGGATCGAAAAACAGTTACTGCAGAGTGGTACACTAACTATTGTTTGCCACTTGTCTTGGAAAAAGTTCGGGAGAAACGACCTCGCAGTAGGATCCTCCTTCACCACGACAACGCCTCATCGCACACCGGCAAGCAAACAATCGACTACTTGGAGATGTCATACGTGGAATTACTGGGTCACTCGCCCTACAGCCTCGACCTCGCACCTTGCTATTTTTATTTATTTCCGAAAATAAAAGAAAAACTTCGAGGAAAACGTTTTATGGACGCCGAGGAAGCAGTGGCTGCGTTTCAAAATGCCGTCGAAGAGACCCCTAAGGACGAGTGGGCAAAGAGCTTTTCTCAGTGGTTCCATCGGATGCAGCGATGTATTGATGTAAATAACAATTTTGAAAATATACAGGTTGGACCAAAAGTCCGGTAACATTTGAATCGGTCGCTGTTTTGAATTGTGGGGAGCGCGAGCGGCTAATAGGAATTTAGCAGCATGGCGTCATTCACCGGAGCGCAACGCGCATTTTGCGTACGCGAGTATTATCGCAACAACGATTCTTCGACTGAAGCGCAACGAAAATACTGTTCTCAGTACAACATACGGAATAGAAATTAAGCTCCATCGACTCGTGTAATTAAAAATTGGGTATTTAATTGAAGTTCCGTACGTGGGTCCACATTAAATCAACCACGATCCGGCTGACCTAGGACGTCGCGAGAACCCGTAAACATAGAGCGCGTACGAACATCTGTTAAAGATCAACTAGGCCCCTCGAGTAGAGGAAAAGCGATCTAGTGTTTTAAAGAAGGATGGCTAAATTTCTATAGGAGCTGGACTTGACTTTTTTTTTTCATGTCCCAAAACAAACTATAGTTAGATTGGTTTGTTTTTATGTTGTAAACACAATCACGTTTAAAAATAAGCCACAATTTTTTATAATAACGTCAACAATATTTTTAAGGCTGAATCAACAAATACCTTTTACTTTTTTTATTTATTGACCATTTCGTTAAAATATAACATTGGTATGTCAAAATTACAATCAATTCAAATGATATTAGATTACATTAGATTATTAAAATTACAAATTAAAATACTTCTACATTTACATGTGAACCAAGTCAGAAAATGAACATTTCATATATTCTTCTATATAATAGAAAGCGTGATTCAAAAAGTATGTTTTTGTCACTTGTCGAAACGCGTTGGGATTCTTATTATTTCTAAAGACAATTTATTATACATTTTGATTTTTAACGAAAAACCTTGCTTGGACGCTTTATCCGACTGCGATGTAGCCTAAAAGTGTAGTTAGCGATAAGTGAGGATGGTAATTGGCGATCTCGTTTCTATTTATTTAGATTTCTCTAAAATAATTTTACTACCCAATAATAGAACATCTCTCAAAGCGCACCCTACGTATGTGCATCATACTCCTAGAGTTCAATGTCAAAAAGGGCCGTCTGTCAAACCGTCTTGTGAAGTTGACCATTTCGACGACAAATTATGACCGATAATTCAATAAAAACTTGAAAATCTACCTAACACCTACATATATTGCACTAGTTTGCATAGTATGTAGTGTAAAAAACAAGGATGGCGTAATTATTATCACACGAAGTCTTTCCTGAAAGATTTCAAGGCTTTTTGTTGATTGACCATTTCAATTCTAGCTAAAGAGAGTTAGTTGCTAGATACCTAGTGTCTTTCAGTCTTCAATACTAAAGTTGCATATGTATTGAAAAATCGAATTGATTTTGCCTCTTATAAGTGAATTATGTCCACTTCCTCTCAAACAATACTCTGTTACATTAATGTTTTCTCTGCTTATTTCAATTTGATACCCTCCGTGAATCCTCCTGTTGAATCTGATATGTTCTTAGGGCAAATAATATAACTTCACTATATTCTAGACGGGGAATATAATATTAGTATTGGAATGAGCTGTAATAATAGTAAAATCAGATGTTCGTCTATTCATATTTATACGATTTATAAAATCAGATAAATTATTATTTAATGGAAATCGTTCTCTAATCACATTTATGATTTGCTCAGCATCATTCCTTGTTTTTTAATAGAACACCGAAATTATTTAAAAGGCTTGCAGCTATGGAAAACATATGCATCATATGTGGAACAGTTTTAATAAAAAAATCTTGCTGGAATATTTTAAAGTCTCGTTTGAAGTACCCGTTAACAACTTCCACCACCCATCGGCATATGGTCACACAACGACTCCTATTAGGTTGCTCAGTAGTGAGCTGATGCCCACCCTCAAGCGGGGATTCTGGCATATATGTTCTGTAGCTGCAAGCCTCTAACAAACTAATAGAATCTCTAAATCCCCTGTCTAGAATAAAAACATCGTCATTTTGAAAGTATTGTCTGAGAGGAGAGTTTTCATCTCTGAAAAGAGACTTCATTATATCTGCATCAGTTGTGGTAGCTTTGTATGGGCCAAAGCAGTCTACATTCAGCCATTAAGTGTCACCAGCAAAAATGGTTTTAACAAGTTTTTGTATTTATGTAAGGAATATGTGTTCTTTTGGAACATATAATTGGAACTTTTGTTTATAAAGATATATTATGTCCCATCACATATAATTATCGTATTTTCATTATTTTGATTATAAATTGAATTTGTAATCATTAAATTGTGTTGTAACAATTGCTCATGGGATATGTGTCCAATTCTCAGATTTCTAGGCACAAAATCTTGCACCAATATTTCCCTAATCTTATCCATTAATCTTTCTAATGTTCACCTTGGAACCACTAATAACTGAGATAACCAGTCACCAGTTCTCATCTTCATTAGAAGAGCACCTAAACCTAAAATGCCTCTATTTGTTCAGTCAATCAATCAATCAGTACTAAATGTATGTTCTACACAAATACGAGCATTTATAGGCAAGTAATATTTGTGTTTGCTAAGAGTTGTTGCTCTTAGTGTCAGAGATTCTATACAAATCTGTGTTCTGGCAACCAGAAAAAACACAATGTGCTGCAGTGTTTGCCGCTGGTCTATACTGTTAAACTAATCACCCGAGGTACTATGTCATCTTGCTGGTCGGTATTTGGAGGGCTTTGAGGTTCTTAGGGTTGAGGCTCTGGCTCCTGCTCTGGCTCTGTCTGCTGCATATTATGTGTTGCAACTCTATTGAGTCTCAGCCAACAGGGATGACAAACATGGTGTGTTGAAGTTGCCTGAAACAACCATACAACCCCAGCGAAATAGAAACATTTTTACAAAACAATATAAAATTGCCGTGATAAATTCACTGTAACTATGATACCAATACAAAACAAAAAAAGTACGAAATAAAAAGGTAATTATTACCTGTCGTGGGGAAATTCTATTTCCAAGCTCAACATGTATTGCTTGTTGCAACTGAAATGGATTCTCTCTCACAATAAGGTCATGTTTACAAATTCCTCAGAGAACTTCCACAAAGTATGCAAACATGCTTGTGGCCACGGGAAGATGAAGCACCAAGTTCGTTAGGTAACCCGGAGTTGACATGCTGTATTGCCAATTGCTGACAGGCATCACATACGTAATCTTCTTCAGTTATCTACAATAAGAATTAGAGTTGTATTATGATGTATAATTGATTAGAATTGTATACTGATGATGTATTATGTTAGTGTAATAAAATAAGTAGGTATGTAAATACGTACTGTTATTGAAGAATTCCACTCGCAGATCTTAGAAATTACTCTTAAATTAATTACTTCCAAAATTACTTCCAGTTTATAAAAAGTACTCTGTGATAACAACAGAAGGAAATAACAATACTGGCGCGGATCGACGACCGCGGACTAAGCGATGGCAAATGACGTTCCGTTGTACATATGTAATTGAACAAAACGTTTAGCTTATTATGACCTACATAATTATTTTTATGACAAGAATCCAGTACATAATAAATGAGCATAGTAGTTGATTTGTCTACATACTAAATGAATTGAATTAAAATTAACAACTATTCATAAAAACGTGAATAATTATAGTCTTTGAATACCAAGTCCTTGCACACACGAAATTAATCGTCATTAGGTGCGTTCTGAAACTATTATTTGAAATAATTTTGAACAGTTGCAAAAATAGAAATAAATGGATAACTTTTTTTGTGGCTACTTAGAGAGGTATTTCTTGTGTGTTTTAAGACCTTAAACAATAAGGGTATTTTACATAAATATTTCATATAGGGACGCTATCATTTCGTTGTCTGGTACGATTTGGCCATCCTCCTTTGCCCAGAACATCTCTTAATCGTATTCTACCCAAGGATTTAAGTCGGATAAATTACAGTTACACAAAGATAATATACCTTGCGATTGTTTGTCCTAAGTAGTTCGAAATAAAAGTCCGCGACAGCATATATCTACCTTTTATATGGAAGCCATTATATCCAAAATAGTGAGCCATAAATACAATTAAATTTGATACTTTTTACAATGCACATTTTAGAGTATTTATCAAATTATTATCGAAATTGATACGTTTGTCGCTTTCAATATTTAATGTAGATGACTTTGTCTTTTACACAAAGTAATTTGGACGAATAGTTTTAAAGTTGTCACGATAAGATTGACATGAATGGAGTACCAGCGCAAAGCGGGGGTGAAGGGGCGGTCCAAGCAATGGCGCGCGATCGCCGAGTGCACGACCCGAACGCGGGCAGACGTGACGTGCGTTTGTGCGTGTGTGTGCGTCTGTGTCTCATAAACTAGGGTTTCATTACGTTTATGATTTGACATGTTTGTCATCAAGGATGCAATAATTTTGTACCTGTTTGTGTTGAGAAAATAAAATAGTCTATTCTATTTTTGACGTATTAATATATAGATATCGTGAAGAAAATGTGTATGTATAAATGATGTGGATATTGTGTGCGTAGCTGTCGTTCCTACGCATCGTGTGCTCGCACGAGCACTACGTGTCGCTGTGCCTGCCGGCGGGCGGGGAGGAGGCGGCCGAGTGCGCAGGGGCTGGCAGCGGGACTTGCGAGGGGCGCGGGGGCGGGGGCGCGTCTCCGCGCTCGGGCTCCACGTGTCCGGCCGCGGCGCTGGCGTTGGGCGCGGACTTCCGCTCCCGACACTATCTGGCTGGCCTCTTGCTGGCCGACCTCACTGCCGCGCTCGAGTTACAGTGCGTGTCGCTTCCTATTGTACCCATCTGTTTTTTTAACACTGAAATAGCAATCGAACTTACACTTCCCATAACCACTTAAGCGTCCACGGTGACTGTAGTCCCCAAAAAGTTATTGCATCAACTGACCTTGGTGACTACAGTCCCCGAACGACATCTTTCGCTTTAAATGTGTTGCTAGAAACCGATGTTAATAATACAGTAGAAAAATAAGAGTTGGTGCTATTTGAAATTTGTCATCCATGAGAGTGAATTTTATCTTTGCAATGGCAACAAAATATTCAGAAAAAAAAATGTTAAAATAATAGTTCGCCATTCTTTTTTGTGGAGCTGGTGGAAAATGTGTGGAGCTTAATCAAAAATGTGATTCGTTTTCTGTTTTTATACGTTATTTCTAATGTTATTTTACATCAAAATTATTGTGAAGATATTTCCTTTAGGAAATATGTATCATGACGACAGTTACAAAATGTTTACGTATAATAATTTAGCTCGAAATTTTAATCACTATACGCAATCTTCGTTTTTTATTATACGTTATTTAAAATGTATTCTCGGTCTTCGGTTGTTTTTGTTAAATAAATGCTTCAATATTAAGACGATAATAGCCATTTATAAAAGAAATTATTAAAATGCAACTCATGCAATTCATGATTGGGTTGGGGAGTGTATATATGTCCTGTAGTGTGTAGCGGTGCGTGCTATGTGGTGTGCAGGAGCCCGGCGCTGCAGTGTGGCGCGGTGAGCGCGCTGCTGTGGCTGCTGAGCGCGCACGATGCAGACCCGCGGCTGCGCGCGCCGGCGCTGAAGGCGCGCGTGGCGGCGCTGTACCTGCCGCTGCTGGGCATCGTGCTGGACGCGCTGCCGCAGCTGCACCGCCCCGCGCACAAGGAGAAAGGTACGCCGCGCCGCGCCGCGTACGTCGCATGCAAACCGCTTTTCAAACTGAAACTTTACAATTGACGTAATTTATAAATTAATAAAACGAAAGAGCGACACCTATGACGTTTCACTTCTACCGCGTCTAAACTGCACACAATTTTTTAAAATATAAGGGTGACAGACGAATGTGAATACCTATAGACTACATTTAACTTCAATTCTATATCTTCAATATCTACATTCTATGCTATTATCGAACAAGAAGGGTGTTATTCGATATCACTATTGTATTATATATAATATGCATTTTTCATCTCAAATATCAAGATTGAAAATATAAATCTCACTTAAAATTTACACAATAATTTGGTGCGCAACATAAACACCGCAAACAGCGGTGAAGTAGGTATATCATTGACCCAATATCTTCCGCCCATCACTTTATTAGAATATGTTCGTTAGAAACAATAATTTTGATACAGCTCAAACAGATATTTTATGTAATTACTCAAGTAAGTCATCAATACGACTGATTATACGATTCACTACTAAATGATTTAGTCAGTATGTAGTAACAATAAAACCCAAGTCCCCAAACCCGAGTGCGACGGTCGGCTTCACATACTACTGGAGTGTTCTACTGTCGCCTGCTATATGGCTAAGTACCTCGGTGCACCGGAGTAACTCCCTAAAGATCTTTGGCGACATCAGATAGTTGTCATCATTTTTGAAGGGTTCGAGTGAGGCTTCTGTCACTTGCTAGCTGCGTAAAATACGAGTAAATGCCTACAATCACTCGGAACCTCAGGTTGCATACGTAGCAAGGGTTAGCGCAGTTTAGTCGAGCGACGTACTAGTGAATTTCAAAGTTTTTTTTAACTCTGTTTAAATTAATAGATTTTTTGTAAATACTTGTTTAAATATTATTGATAAGTATATTTAGTTATAGGATTAAATAGTTGTTTAAGGTTTAGTTTTCGTTGTTGGATAAAGTAGTTGTTTCTATTACGTATATTATAGAAAATACATTCATTAACAATTTTGAAAACATGTAAAGATAAAACCTGTAAAATTACTATCAGAAATATGATATATATCGGAAACAAAAAAAGATTTAAGAGTTTTTTCTACTGTTAAATTTAATTGGCGAGTTTGTAGGCCGTAGTATAGGACCTCCATGCGTAGTCCACCTATCGATAATTTAAATAGTAAATCGTATTTACTATTTAAATTATCCCTCACTGCACTTGAATAGTTTGACTCCCTGTTAATTGTTGTTCGATTGGTAAGTAAACGTAAGTTAATTTTTGCCGCGGTAAAGACTCGCTTTCGTATAACCTTTGCGCATCACGTAAACTTTTATTGCTTTAAATATATTCAATATATTTTTACCGCACCATTTCATAATTTTATAGTATTCACGGTTCGAATATTTTCGTTCCGTCATTGGCAACAAAGCGACACTACCTATGAAAATTTAATGGACTTTGCGTAAGCTGTTGGTAATCCCCCCTATTTTTACCCAGGCGACCCTAATGAATATGTGCCTGCGTAGTAAAATAGTGTTACGAGCTTGAGGTTCGTGACAATAAAAATTGCCGATAAAATTACCTAAATTAACACTTTAATTCTCTTTACACAAATTAAAACTTAAAACACTAATAATTAAACACACTAATTCACTTAATTCCGCTCCGAAGCTTCGCTCGTATCGCCAATTCAATACTACCTCGATCGCATCTTGCAGCGCCTATTTATATAAATTAGCAAAGAAGCATCCGGAATATTCAAGTAAATGCGCGCAAAGGGACGAGTGTGCGAGTGTAGATTTTCTAGAAACTTAGTTCTTCGGATGGCGCTGTCGGTTGAGAGATTTGTGATGTCATTTTCTGCAAAGCTCCCCTCGCTCTCGTTCCTGAAACTAGATGGCGCTAGTTGACTTATTCACGCAACAATAGTAAAGGTTTGCTTTGACGTTAGTTGAAAATGTCGTTCGTCATATTTTGCACATTTACATTTTAATCTTCACAAGTCCACTGCTAAACTGTCCTTCCTTCCCATGGAGCGCTACGAAGCACAATCCTGAGCGATTTGCATCAACTGACATCTTGCATTTCTTACCAGGTTGTCACTCCATCTAGTGGATTTCTTTTCATTTTAAACACAACAGAATTTTTGTAAGAAAATCTTTAACTTTTTGGCTGTACGTATTTCCTTTCTTAATTCACGAAATATTTTACAGAAACACTTCAACTAGACGGTGAATTGAGTCAGTTCGGAAATTTCTACTCGATGTCGTCTCCTGAAGATTTCAAACAGGTACTTGCTTACATATATCTTATATCTATTTTTGTTATGGTTTTTAAACTTGCAAATATAATTATAATTTTGTAAGTAGCACTCTTGCATTGTGTACTTTGTATCATTGTTAGCTCGTAAAAAATTTCGGATGCTGCTGTGATTGTTATACTTGGCAATCGCAGCAATATGGGAAGCCTTGAGGTCTTTGTATTCTTTACCATGGTTGCCCCTCACGACATCTATAGGACAGAATAGGACGATGAATTCTCTTACACCGCCACTACACAGCAAGTTGTTTTAATTCTAATGTTTAATTTTCATAGCATTGCGTAGATTGTATTATAGAATCGGAGAGTGTATTAGTTAATTTTTTCCTAGGTAATATACAGGGAGTGTAGGGCAACCCCCCACTAGATGGAGTGACGACCTGGTAAGATATGCAGGAAGTCCATGGATGCAGGTGGCTCAGGAGCGTGCTTTGTGGCATTACTTTGGGGTTCAGCAGTGGACTTGCGAAGGGCTGTGATGATAATGAAATGATGAATATATAGGGTTATTTTGCAATATACGCCCCAAATTTTCTTTTTACGTGGTAGAGCCACGCTGTAGCTATATTATTGTTGTAACACGAATGGTTAGGCTCAACCGGGGAAGGACCACGCTCTCACATAATACCAGCGTAAAATAGCAGCTTAATGCTGCTGTGTTTCTTGTGAGTGTAGAGAACCATAACACCGCTAGGTACCCGTCCGGCCGGCGTGACATAACTAATTTTCATTCATAAATATCTAACGTCTACTATTTTACTACGCAGGCACTCATTCGTCAGGGTTGCTCGGTTACAAATTTAGGTTCCTTGTTGCGCGTCTTCCCGCGCCCTTCCCTCCCGTCAACCGTTACACCGCTAGGTACCCACGTCCGGCCGGCCGGCCGACAGCCAGCACGTGTTTACCGTGACCTCATTACGTACGTAGGTAGTGTCGCTTCTTTGCCAGTGACGGAACGAAAATATTCGAACCGCGAATACTATGAAATAGTGCGGTGTTACATTTGAAGCAGTGCATGTTAACATTGTGCGCAAATACTACACGAAAGCGAGTCCTTACCGCGGCAAGAAATTAACTTACGTGTATCTACCAATCGAAGAACAATTGACAGGTAATCAAACTATTCAAGCGCAGTGAGCGATAATTTAAATAAATATGAAGATAGGTGGATTGCGCATGGAGGCCATATACCTATACTATGGCATGCAAATTCGCCGGACCCCTCATCGTTAGACTTTTATCTGTAGGATGGGTGAAATAAAGAGTCGTGTTTACGTCAAAGAGGCCCAAATGTATAGAGACAAATGAAGTAAAAAATTATTTAAGAAAACATCACGTCTATGCACGGAGAGAAACGGCTTCCATTTTGAGGTAACAATATTATTTATATTTGCAACTAAATTACGCAAGTAGTCCCCACTACATGCGTAATTTAGTTATAAATATTTTATTCCAATTTCTTTAATACGCCATAATAATCACAGTCATCGGTTAAGTCGTTGATAAGCAAAAATATTTTTTCTAATTTTATTTACTATGACGATCCTAAGCTCGACAAAATTGAATCATGATTTGCGTTGTGTAGTTATTAATTTCAGCATTATTATAGTCAACCAAATCTAAGAAATACATTTTGACAGCTGTCAGACTTATTGCACCAAGCATGTCAACCAAAAAATGGGAACGTACAATATTCGATTCTTAAAAAAATCGATATCGATTATTTAGAGTTAGTAATCATTTATAGTTTGGTTTGAATAATACCAGAATAAATAAAAACGGATAATTTAAAACACAAGATTTAACAGTTCCTTTGTATTTGTTGTAACTGCTTCTTTATTATAATTTATTTAATCCCCTTTAGTACAACTACTTGAGCTGTCGTTGTTTAGATTCATTATTATTTGATTTTCAATAATGCAGTCAAAATGAATGACTCTCAAAGTCATCCATAATCTTTTTTTTCTACCACTTTTGACTAATCATCGTTTTTGACATGGGCAAATGCTTCAACGAATATAGAAGAAACAGTCCAAAAAGTTAAAACAGTCACAAAATAAGAAAATAAACACAAAATCACAAAATTACGCACAGTAAGCTCCCGAAATGGCGGGAGATTGAAATTACGTAGTGGTGTTTTTCAGCGCGGCCTTCTATATGAGCTTTTTTGCCTATACAAAGGACAATGGCGAAATAATAGGTGATGAAATTATTAAGCGTCTACTTAAGTCACTATTACAGATATCAATAAAATAATTTACTATGTATTATCTAATCAAGCTTATGGGCTATAGAAAAAAGAATCGTGCACAATTCAAAACTTAATTGACTAGTTGTTGTAGTTGTTATGATTCGTCACTTAAGACAGACAAAGGTCTTATAACATACAGCCGAGTTTGACGTGTATGTTATTCAGAAAACTCTTGTATATATACTAATGCGTTCTGTAAGGATTCCCTCTATGCTAGTAACTACCCTTTACTAACATATATGAAAATTATATTGACTAGTTGTTGTTGTAACGATTTGCCAGTTAAGGCGTTTTATACCATACAGCCTAGTCTGATGGGTATTTTGTCTAAACTGAACAATATATCTAATTTCTGACTTCCTGCAGTAGTATGATCGAAGAAAAAAAAATGTTTAGGATCTTAAACCGTATTTTTACATATTTTGCATTTGTAGACGCGAGAAAAAATGCCACCAAAAACTTATTTGGGAGTTCGCCATTGTCCTTTACGTTGACAACGTAAAAAAATATACTTGTTTTTTTCATGATTCATGTAAATTAAGGAATTTTAAATATAAAAATTTAATTAAGCAAACAATACAGTAAAAAAACTTAATGATTCAATTATTTAAATATTTTTACCGATTATTTGAATCTTTTTGCCGATTATTCGCATATCAATGAATTTTAATCTTACAAACACTACGGTAAGGGCTCATAGCGACATATCATTGAAACGAAGTCAACGAAAAAAGTTAATACTGTCTATTTTTTAATATTTGCTTTGTTTGAAAGATTCGAATTTAAATTAGTGATAAAAAACTAGACACGTTGTAATTAAATATAGATAACTTCATAATTCTTCGGATTTAGGTAAACGGTTATTGTAAATCGTATAAGTACGCTTGTGCAAAGTTATTGCTGCTTCACGGCACTCTCGCAGATTACTTGCCTTCTTCTCAACTCACCGCAGACAAAAAGGCAATCTCCTGGCACTTGCACATTCGTCGACAACTTGACTGCACTATCGACCTCCGGTCTGAGCAGGCGGGTGATGTAGCGGCGCTGTCGTCGCGCCACAAGCGAAATGCACCGAAGCCTAAATCACGCTATCAACATTCCGAATCATAAACAGTATATATAGAACTTCTCCGAACTATCACACGGAGTGTTGGCCGCTCCCCGGGCAGAACACATTGCCCGGCGGGAGATCTCCCATTTTCCTTCCACGGCCACATTGCGAAATGATTAATATGAAACGTCAAAAGGTATTTCTTAGATTTGGTTGACTATAGTAAGCGTGACACAAAAATTTTTTGAATTGAATCGCATACACAGGAGCGCGCGTACGCGTAGATTCAATTTGGAATAGTTTCAAATAAAAAAGAAATCTTATTTTCACGTATTTTAAAAAAATTCAATAAAGGTGTATTATTATTTATATTCGTGAACTTAAATATAAAATTTGAATAATAACCCTGTATAAAATAAATCCATTACACCTTATTTTATCACGTAATATTCAAACATCATTATGGATTCAAATCTTAAATTGCATTATGAAAATATATTATGGCCCCTCCAGACTGTTGTCAAGGAGTTCCGAGAACACCCGTGGACGTGAACGTGAGTAGTTGCATGCAGTCTCGTTCTCATTTACCGAGCGATATCGGTACTTCACCAGCTTCATATGGGTTCTCGGGTGAGAAAAAGAATTCCATTAATTTTATTGTTCGGTGTCATTGCAATAAAAGCGGAGTATATAAGGAATAATGTTACAAACGTTTTGTTTTCGTAAATTTGGTTCAACATTTTTAAAGATTTACGAGATAATATTTGGCTAATGCACGCAATGCCGCTTCTCTCAAAATGTCGTTCATACCAAATACGAACAAGAACGAAAATGGAAACATTGTGTGAGCGTAGTTTTATTCTCGCTTTCGCAAGATATCGAATCGATCCGGTGGCGGGAAAGCTCGTCGAAAGCTTTCTGAGCGTGAGTTTGACGGACCACAACTCAGTATTTTCATAAAACGTAATGGTATTCAAAATAAGATCTATCAAGATCAAACTACTTTACAACGTACGCCATTTTTATGTTTAAAGCGATATTGTAACAACCTTTATTTTATTAATATTTTCATTAAGCATAATTACGCACTTAATATACTATACAATATACTTAATATAATAATTAAACAACATTGAATACATAGATTACATGTGTAAGTATGCATAAATACACATTATTATTGAATGAATTATGTTTTATTATCGTTTAAAATCTATATTGAATAAAAAGTATTCTATTCTATACTTTGTTGTTTAGTTTTTATTGAAAAATTAACACGGAAATAAGAAAAACATAAATTTACAAAGGTACAATTGGCGGTCTTATCACTAAGAAGCGATCTCTACCAGGCAAATTCATTGATGAGGATTAATAGACTAGTGAGAAGTGGTAAGGGTGTACCCATACATACATATATACAGGGTATGTTAATAAGTAATATGTACTACATACTAGAACAGACACCGCGAACAAAATCTGTGTGGCAGTGTGGGGCGCGTGGAAGGAGACACAGAGTACCTTGCTATGGTAAAGACTAAGTAAGTTTGAGCCCGTGGAATCAAAAGTCTCTGCGTCTCTTCTACTACGTAGTATATGTAACTTCAATGTGTTAATATTTGTTTCCCGGTCGCACGTTGTAGAACGGGCGGGCGCCGTTCAACAGCGAGACGAGCCGCAACCTGCTGATGTGCCTCGCCTGGCTGCTCAAGTGGACGCAGCGCGACGTGCTGGCCGCCTGCCTGGCCGAGCTGCCGCCCGCGCGCCTGTACGCGCTGCTGGCGCTGCTCGACCTCTGCTTCAAGTGCCACGAGTACACGGTACGTGTCAGCTATGCACGCGTAACGTAATGAATGGCTCGCTGCCTACCACGGTTGCACACAACACCAACGTTCTAGGCTATACACGTGTGCTTATACTATGTCCACTTCTAGCGCTCTTCGACCTCTGCTTGAAAAGCCACGTGCGTAAGTGCTATATGGAAAATAGCTAATCATCAATTATTTTTTAAACTGTTAAAATATACAATATTTTTTGCAGGGTCGTAAAGAAATACTCAAGTGTGCTCAACAAAACGTCCGCAAGACAACTGACATCAAAGCGAAGCTAGAAGATGTCATACTTGGACAGGGTTCTGCTCGCTCCGACTTCATTATGAGGCGTAAAGGTAAAAACAATAGCGTTGACTCGTGGCATAATTAATATTATATGTATTCTAAAGGACACCACTGTTCACAGATATAAGTCAAACACCTGACTCGTGTCCGTCCGTGTCTTCCAGTGAAGCGGAGACCTTTTTCACTGGAAATGAGTCATTCCATCTCAGGAATGATAACGCAATCTGCATTTTTCATTGATAAATGTGGATGTCTATGGGCCATAGCATCCACTTACCTACCATCAGGTGGACTATGTACTCGCTTGTCACCTTTATCCTTTTAAAAAACGTTACTCCAGTTTAAAAAAAATCGTGATTATTTGTGATGTAGGTGGGTCTAGCGGGCGCAGCGCGGTGATGTCGCGTGGCGGGCGCGAGCGCTGGCGCAAGGAGTGGGTGCGTGGCGGCGGCGCACGCTCACGACCCGCATCCCCCGCCCGCCCTCCGCCCGCGCTGGCGGCCGCGCTCGCCGCCGAGCTCGCGCTGGCGCTGCTGCACGCGCTAGAGACCGTCGTGCAGGTACGTGCTGTGTACTGTGCGCATACTGTCGCGTGAACGTGACTCATCGCGTTAACGAATGTTAAACATTCGTTAACCTTAGCGAGATGCCGTTCCCTATTGAATTTTGTTTCTCCTGTTGAGTATCAATAGGTTAAGGATGTGTTTTATGCCTTTATCTTTTTTTTATAGGAGAGAGGGCAAACGAGCCCATGAACATTGCAACACCAGGGGAATTGCAGATGCGTTGCCGGCCTTTTCAAAACGAGTAGGCTCTTTTCTTGAAGGTCCGTAAGTCCTATCGGTCCGGAAAAGTTTGGTGGTAGTCGATTCCACAAGGAAGTTGTGCGAGGAAGAAAACTTCTTTTAAATCGCACGGTGGTGGACCGCCAGTCATCCAGATGGTATGGATGGTATCGCGAGTTTTATCTCGATGTGCGATGGTGAACTTGTGGAATTAGTCCGAACAATTCCTCATAGCACTCTATATACGACTATATATACCATGGGTGGTATATGCGAAAGAAAATGCAAAGAGATGCAACATCTCTTCGCAGCGCCAGTGAATCGAGCCGATCGGAAAGCACTCGGTCGTCGACGATTCGAGCCGCTCTGCGCTGGATGCGGTCAAGTGGAAGGAGCTGGCACTGGGGAGCCCCAGCCCAGAGATGGTAACAGTATTCCATGTGCGGCCGAACCTGCGCCTTGTAAAGTTGCAGGCGGTGTGCCGGCATGAAATACTGTCCCCCTCTGCTGAGCACGCCAAGCTTTTTAGAGGCCAATTTGGCCTTCTCTTCCAAGTGACCACGAAACTGCACGTCACTCGATATGTCGACGCCGAGGATTCCGATACTGGCTAAGGCAACAAGGGGAGTGCCTTGAAACTGAGGAGATACGATAAAGGGGTTCTTTTTAGCGGTTAACGCGCAAACTTGTGTCTTCTGGGGGTTAAACTTGTGTTTGAAGTCGAGTCTCTGTTCAGCAAAGACTCGACTTCAAAGACAAGTTTGCCCCGGTACTCGGAAACGTTTTCCCGAGAAATATTGGAATATGTCAAATTACGAAATGCTACTTGTAGGTACTAAAATGCTTGATCAAACATACAACCACTTAATAATTGATGTTATGAAACTGAATTCTCTATTTTATCTCTTTACAGAGTAGAAGTGTTTAAATGTCGATTATAGTTTTAATTAATTTATGTCAAACTTGCCCCAGGTGACTTTACTTATAGTTTCTAAAGTATAATAAAACACTCAGATTTCTGCTTACACTGTTATTCGGTCCTGAGGCTTAAGTTTAAATTATAACAAACACTTATTTGGTCTTATTTTATGTTTCGTAATTAACACGACTGTCTTCCTCGGCGTCTACTTACTTAACCTTCCAACGGTCGCGCGCGGTCTCTAAGTCCGCAACTAACTTATTTTAGTCAATTTACTAAAACCATAAACAATAGACGCTTGTGCTTCCGTGATATCCTCGGGAAGGTGAGGTAGCACTCCTCAGTAACCCTGTGACATTCGTCTCATGCACACATGCTTTCTTATTTGTGTTTGCGGTATCAAATTCCGCGTGCGACCGATTGTGTTCCAGAACAATTCAGTGCAATTAAATTGAAACCGGGGTAAATATTTCATGTTTTGTGTATCTTATTATTACTTTTTATCTTTTTTTATTATAATATTATAAAGGTATATTTTTATGAAACTTATTTTTGTTGTAGACAATGAATTACGAAGACTTAGACTTTCTAGTATACATCTAGGTGATAAAATCGACGAATCGACAGGAAAACCTGATATTGTACTAGACTACAATCTACAATACTACAAAATCTGGAGTCGACTTGGCCGTTGGTAGTTTTATACTTTGATCAATATTACAACTGTAAATGCACAAGTTATTTTTGGACACAACAATGAAAAAAATGTTGTAAGACGAAGATTTATTGAAAAAAATTCATATTCATTCATGGAAAATCAACTGAGGTACAAGTACACTTCTTCGACTATTTCTCAAACTATCAAACTGAGAATAAAAGAAATCCTGCTGAAATATTTCTGAAATGGCCAAGAAGTATCGTTTTCAAACCAAGTTCTACGTTTTGCAGGTCGTTGTTACTATTGTGATAGGAAAAAGAACTGCAAAACAAAGTATAGTTATTTCAAATGTGGAAAACACATGTGTCTAGAACATGTGATTGTTATATGCCGAGAATCGCACAAAAGGTATTTTATTTTATAAAAAAAAAAAAAGTTCCTATTACACAGTGCCATTGACGACGAATGTGATGTATTTCTAAGATAATTATAATCAAGTTCATAAATTGTTAGTAGTAAAAAAGAAAATTTCATTTTGTTTTGGTTTTGTTTATTTATAACGGTGATTTTTACCCAGAGACAAAAATTCTTGAGTTTTTATAGACCTTTGTTCTATTAAGTACAAATAAAAAAATAAACAAATAAACTGTTTTTATTTTATTTTACACGTATAAGGTCTCTTCTTAATCATGTGCTATACAATAAGTCGAAATATTCATTTGTTTTCACAAACAAGACACTGAAATTTGCGGAATGACAGACCGCGCGCGACTGCTTGTGTTCGGCGCAAGGGTGCGACCGCTGGAAGGTTAACGCTGTCTTTGCCTCGTACAACTGACCACATCCCCTCCCTTACAATAAAAGTCAATAGCTTAAATAAACTATATTCTTAAGAAATTAACTAAGTTAAAACCTAACACGATTCTCAGCAACATGAACGGTAAAATTGGTACCTTAAGGAGAAAAACTGCTATCTCCTAATATAGTAGGGGAGCCGAGGGTGCTAAATCGGGACTTACTCGAGTGTCATAGAGACCTATTGGATTGCGAAGCTTAGATGATAAGAAGAAAAAAAGTCATATAATATATACACTTTGGTGTATATATTATATGACTTTTTGGTCATGTGGTGGGGGAGCGGCTATAAATTTTCAAAAATGTAAAAAAATACAGTTGCATGGACATACTTGAGCGCGTCAGATATTAATAGCATCCATGTCCTACGTATTTTTGAAAGCATACATATGTTAATCTGATTGTTTCCATGATAGGGGTGGTGTGCGTAAGGGTTGAATACGGGAAAAAAATTAATCGAGCGCGTCAGATTTTCAAAGGGGATGTTAAGTGAACCTAAAAGAAGGCTCTTATGTAATAATCTGACGATTTGGATGTGACGCTCACACTCGAGAAAGTCGAGATGACGATTTTTTTTACAAGCTTGTAACCCACCTACTTGTTATCGTCAATCGAAAATTGTCAGATTAGTGGAATATACCCTTTTTAGGATATAACTAACTTACCCTACCTTAATCTGACGCGCTCGAGAATTTCAGATGATCAATTTTTTTACTAATCTGATCCTTTATCCTTGACGCGCGGCCACATATACGGGGCTAATACTTGGTGGAGGTATTTAATGGGGTACTAGGTACCTCCCTGTATGTTAATCTGCCGCGCTTTAGTAAATCCTAAAATCCCCTCTTGGGCTCCCCTACTAATAGTTAGTAACTTAGTTATCAATATACAATTTCGTAACACGAAGTGTTGTGGTGTCGCAGTCGGTGAGCGGGCTGGAGTGGGGGCAACAGGCGTGCGGCGCGGCGCTGGGAGTGCTGCTTCGCGCGCTGCAGCGTAACCAGAGCGCCGCCGTGCTGCAGCACATGTTCGCCTCCGTGCGCGCGCTCATCGTCAAGGTACCCCACCCCACCCACCTCACACCGCACCGACACTCTTGCACTATTGTTCACTTTTTTTAAATGAAAACTTCTTTGAAATTAATGCGGTTTGAAACTCATAACAAAAAAGCGACACTTAAAAAAACATACGTCTATAGGATTTTACCTGCGGAAGAATCAGCATTCATTATAAATTTATTTTCATACTTTAATTACATAAACCCTACAATTATTCTACTTCTGCATTCGCGTCGTTCTCTTGACGTTTAATTTTTTTGAAGGTTTTATTTCTATCGCTTGTAAACTGTATACATGTTAATTTTTTATAAAATATAAATGACAAATAAGCACTCCTGATACTATGTGAATGCTGTGGTCCATTGACATATACATTTGTCCTCGATTAAGATTCAAAGTTCAATTACCTCACCCCGAGGCCGATGACCTCGCTTCCAACAAAAAGGGTCTTCGACAAACTCTGCAGCTCCGAAACACGGCAGCATCAAGCTGCTATTTCGCTAGTATTCTGTGAGAGCGTGGTTCTTTCCCGTCCGACCTATTCATGTTATAACCAAAATATAGCTTAATCAGCTCTACCACGTGAGAAAACTATTGTCCCTAATAAACTACGACACTCTTTCTGAACAGTGCTATTAGTTCTGCAGTGAGCCATGTCTAGATTATCCATTAATAACAGGACACTCTGTATAAAGCTCCTTGTCATATTATCACGAACAAAAACATCAAATAGTAATTGCTTGATACTAACTGAAGTATGTGTCGTATTTTAGGGAATTTAAATAAAATACATGTTTTACGTAAAACAGTCAAAAGTATATTTTAACGTAGTGGAGCCACATTGCAGTTATATTAATTGTCTAGTTGTAGCACGTATGAGTCGGCTCGACCGGGAAAGGACCACGCTCTTACAAAATACCAGCGTAAAACAGCAGCTTAATGCTACTGTATTTCGTATGGTGAGTGTGGAGATTCGGAGATGCTTTTTACTGGAAAAGAGGCAATACATCTTAGTCCTCATGACTGACAACGTAACTACATTTTGATTCGCAAACGAGGGTAGATGTTAATGCCTATGAGCTACAGCAACCAATTACCATCAGGACTGTGTACTCGCTTGCATCCTTATCCTATTAAAAAAATATTATCAGAGAATCGGGAAAACATGCAGTTCAAACACGGTGCGAGGTGTGCAGCGTAAAATGAATTTTACACGCCCATGGGACCATCTTCTTTTTTATATTGTTATAATCCCAGTACACTAATAAAACTTTTTCGCCCAACAGTTAGGATGGTCATGCTGCGGTGAAGAGTCTGGGATTTGTCGTGTGCTACTGCGCCACTGCGCTGCGTTAACTGCTACAACGCGGGCGCATGCATCCGCTACGCTGTACGCCCTCATGAGACAACACTATCAACTAGGCAATGTAAGTTGCTCCTACAAGTTTCGAGGGGTGAAACTCCGTAAAGCCGAGTTTCGAATCGTTCGAGAAATTGACGCTGTTCAGGGATAAACTCTCTTTCTCATGGAGTACGTTGGGTAAAGGCAACGTGCACCACTAAGAGTGCTGTATCATTGAGTATTTGTATAAAGACAACATGCATTGCACCTAGAATGCTTTCCTATCGAATGCTTTGGTACAGACAACGTGCACTTCATATAGACTGTTTTCTCATTAAATACTTTGAGTATAGATAACGTGCACTGTACTTTTACTGCTTTACCATCGAGTACTTTGGATACAGACAACGTGCACTTCACTTAGACTGATTTCCCATCAAGTATTTTGTATCTCGTTGTTCTAGTGGTTCTAAACGCGACTGCTGATTATGATATCCCGGGTTCGAATCTCGGGTAGTGAAGAATCAGTTATTCAATTTTACTGTCAAGCAATTTTCAGTAGCTGTCCGGAGTCAAGAAGTTGGCGGTGTCTCAACCCTGTGCCTCAGAAAGCAAGTAAATAGTTGGTCCTGCGCCTCATCTCTCTCCAGTCATATTGGTTTACCGTCGTATTGGACTATAAGAGTGAGGGATTAAAGAGTGCACTAGTGCTTGAGCATACACTCGGGCACTATAATCATGTCCTGCGCCGATGGCTAGTCTTCGTTGAGGCTGGTCACCGAGAACGTAGTTTGATCTGTAAGACATCCAAACACACTGCAACCTGCACTGCACCGAAACTGCTTTCTGATCAGGTACGTTGCGTTGACAACGTGCACTGCTCTTAGATTGCTTTACCATCAAGTATTTTGGATAGAAATAATATACACTACGTCTAGACTGCTTTCCTATCGAGTATTTTTTATATAGACAACGTATTAAATCTTTCCTTTGAGAAATACGAAATAATACGAATACCATTTCTATATCGCAGAATTTCAGTCGAGTGAAGATGCAGGTGACGATGTCGCTCTCATCTCTCGTGGGCACGTCTACAACCTTTAGCGAAGAAGCGTTACGACGAGCCTTGAAAACTGTACTAGTATATGCTGAACGAGACGTCGAACTGCAAGACACTTCATTTCCTGAACAGGTAACTAAGCCGCAGGTGCGTGTATTTTGGCTTAATAAAGTAATATACAATAATGCCCACCATTTATAGGTTAAAGACCTCGTGTTCAACCTGCACATGATCCTAAGCGACACTGTCAAAATGAAAGAATTCCAGCAAGACCCGGAGATGCTACTTGACCTGATGCATCGAATCGCTCGCGGCTACCAACATAGCCCGGACCTTCGTCTCACCTGGCTTAACAACATGGCGCAAAAGCATATGGAGGTAAGCTGTTGTTATAAATATAATAAAATAATGTGTTCCGCGTATGATCTGACGCGTCGTTCTAGTGATGTGTCATGTACCAGGTAGTTTATATCAATAATTTTTTTGCAACTTGTTGTTAAATCAATTAAATAATGTTTATTATATGTAAGCTAAAAAATATTTTGTAATAATATTTTATTCATCACAATCAGTATCAAATGAACTCGTACTATCATCGCTACGAGCACTTAGTGACTCTTCGTCACTAGTTTCTCCGACTTCTATGATAAAATCTTCCCTCACGTTTTCCATTCCTATTTCATATCCCTTTCCCAGTATTCATTCTCCAGTTTCTGAACATGTTTTTAGAAATTTGCTCAGTTTTCTGCCGTAACTGTCGAAATTGCATTCGTTGTAACCTCTTTCAGTTTTGTCAAACTCAAATTGCTTCTTTAGGGAACACAACATATTGTGTTCCCTTAAAGCCGAATACGACGTGAATGACCTTGCTCGTTTCGCAGCAAACCACGCGCCGCCAGTACCTACGCTTTGTTTATATAGACATGTATAATACCTATAATCAAAGCCGTATACGGGCTTTGATTATATTTGACGGAGCTAGCTCAGATGCAGAGTAATGAACAACACAGAGAGCATTGCTTACTTCTTAAATAAATTTTTCTTATTTATAATATTACTTCCTATAGATTATAAATTCTGTACTTTATTCGTTATAAAATATTGTTCGAAAAGTTATTGAATTGATAATGATTTTTTTCTTAATTGGTGCATCGTACGTTAAGAACCTCATATAACTGAAAATGTTTGTTCTTGTGAGTCTTACAAGATGCCGTAATGCAAATTGCATAAATAATAAAGAAAAAAAACTAAAAAGTCGGTGATTGCCCCATAGTGGGGATAGGTACTGTGTATGTAAATTCTCACAAGACTACTCCGACTGGTCAATCACTTCACATCCGAAGTATTTCGGTTTTTCTTAATTATGTACTTTTACCCCATGCTTTCGGACAATACATTGACTGACATTCTTTGACCGAGAGGTCAATCGACAGATTCAACTCGGCTGAATATTGTTCGTAAAATTACGTCACATCTTCTCGAGTACCTCAAAACCTGACAACGAGATTTTACAACCAGTGCGTGTTGTCAATTATAACTTTCGGATCTGAGACGTGGTCTTTCGCTGTTGGTCGTATGCGGACACTCAAGGTCGCTCAGCGAGCTATGGAGAGGGCTGTGCTCGGAGTTTCTCTGCGTGATAAACTTATAAATGAGGATATCCGCAGTAGAACCAGAGTGACTGATATAGCCCAACGGATTAGTAAGCTGAAGTGGCAATGGTCCGGCCATATAGCTGGAAGAACCGACAACCGATGGGGAGAAAAGGTTTTCGAGTGGGGCGGCCTCGTACCGGTAGGCGAAGTGTAGGGCGACCCTCCACTAGGTGGAGTAACGACCTGGTAAGACATGCAGGAAGTTGATAGATGTGGGTGGCTCAGGACGGTACTGTGTGGCATTCCTTGCGGAAGGCCTATATTTAGCAGTGAACTTGTGAAGGGGGCTGTAATGATGATGATGTGTGTAGAAAGGTACGTCAAAGTTTTCATTTCTGATGTGTAAGTCTGAAGTTTTCCCTTCTGACGTGCAGTCGACTGACAGTTTTATTTAAAGATATGCGATGCGATAGCAGTCATACTATTTACGATAACTAAAATTAGAGAACTAGTTTCCTATCGTCTCGGTCTACGCTTTATGCTGATGCTGTGCTTTATGGATAATCTGATTAAAGACTTTATTGAAAAATTTAAAGTTATATTATTTTGGGGTTACTTAAATAATTCGTTGTTCCTGTAATACCGTGTACTTATCGTATATTCAAACTCTTTATCGTAATTCTTTATTAGATAATCGATATAAACAAAAAAAAACTCTTTCCAATGTTAGGAGCGAATATAAAGAGGCACATCTCTATCGAATAGTCTGTACATCCGCAAAAGTCATCTTCAGCCCGGCCAAGATAGAATGCGCTGATAATAAGCGTAAAGTACATTAATAATAAAAAAAACGATGGAAAATTTGTGGTTGTGGTGTACAGGAATGTAAATTATGGTAGAAGAATTTATTTTCACTTGGGATATTCTTTGTATTTCTTTTTTGAATGGCCATATCTTCTGCTATGATCCATTTCAAGGTTATTCAATAATTACCAAGCATTCTGTATATAATAGTTTTTGAGGTGAAGATTGTTATGCGTGTGCGTTTCTTTTTTGTTACTTATTGAGAAGGTTTTTTTTGCCCTCTGTTATTATTATTGTTATATCAGTGAGCCATTCAGTCTACGTCACGATCATTCAACGTTTTTATCCTTAAAAATTCTTAAGATAAAAGTTTATTTAGATACACATTCACTTAAACTAAAGCATAATAAATATATTGAATTTTTTTTTCTTTCTCTTTCGACTACTTCGCAACATTATAAAAGATCTGCACTTTGACTTAAACTGTTAAGACCACTGAATAATGAAATACACACTTTATCACTATGTTTTACTCACACACCACTACATTGTATTGTAGAAAAAAAAACTCATGAATGCTAAGATTGTTTAACTATACATCATAATGAAAATTCAAATGATACCGCGATTAACTCGGCAATAGCGTCATCTAGGGAGAACAGGAAGAATTAAATTTAAAAAAGTAGTAGTAGGACTAAATTTAAGAAAGTTTGTTAATAATAATAATAATAGTCTTTATTTGCATAAAACATGGTAATTATACAGATGTTTCAGAGTTTTATTATGCCCACATGTTTTGCCATTTTAATATAATATAGCATGCAAATTACATTTAAATCAAGATAAACTATATAGTGTTAAAAATTAACAAATTAAACATGTTTATTTAAATTATAATTATGTTTTACAATGTCAAAATCCAGTTTAAAATGTCAGAAATTCATTAATGTCATAAATATTTTTGTCAATTAACCAATGGTACAATCTTTTTTTTTAATAAGTTCATATTATGTAGTGTTGTTGGCTAAACAACCACTGAAGTAAACACAAAATATTTCTTAAAAACCAAAACACTCCTATTAATTGTTTGTTTTGAATAATAAAGTTTTGCAAAAATAATAAATAAAATAAACATATATACAAAAATTCAATTGATAATATGAATAATTACAAAAAAAAACAAAACACTACTTAAAACCTATCTTACCCCTTTTTCTGCAAACCCATTGTACGAAATTGTTCATGCTCGGTGAATCGGTTTTAAGTTGTGGCCGTAATTGTAAATTGACCAATTCACCACCTTCTATGGCCCTACCAACTTTGCGGTTATACAAGCCGAATCTTAAGAGATGAATGCAATACTTCTATACGAGTTATTATGTAAATCGGTCAGTAGAATATCATAACAGTGTTGTTTTCTTGCAGCGGTCTAACCACCTGGAGGCGGGTATGTGTCTGGTGCACGGCGCAGCGCTCGCTGCAGAGCAGCTGTGCACGGGCGGGCGCGGTGCGGCGCTGCTGCAGCGCGTCACGCACAACGCGCTGGACGAGAGCTGCGCCGACGTGCTGCACCACCACCTCACGCAGCAGGAGCTGCAGGTGAGCGTGACCTGTAGCTGTGCAGGGTTGTGCATGGGCTGTTGCATCACGTGACCTGTAGCTGTGCTGGGTTGTGCATGGGCTGTTGCATCACGTCACTATGAACGGACGCACATAAACTGCAGCTCACTGTTGCTGTCTTACAATAACATTCCTGCGTACATGAGTGCGGGCGTGTATCTGTGCTTGACTAGTCGAACGGTTAATAGTTTTTTTTAGAGTAATACAGAAATAATAAATATTAGGGTCAGTTCACACCGAGACATAACGCGACGCGACGCGGCGCGCACGTTTTAAGATAGTGACACAAAATATAACTTTATTTACTACACAAAAGGATACACTTTTGATTGAGATAATTCAAAATTGCCCCGCGGTGTTGCTCCACACCGCGCTGCGCGTCGAGATGGCTCGCTACATAGCGCGACGCATGACGACGCGACGCAGTGGTGCTTCGTCGGTAGGCGCGGCGTGCAAGAGCGTTGCGCTGCCAGCGAATACACTGGCCTCAATAAAATCTTGAAATCTTCCATTCTTCCTGTAATGCCTTTTAAAACCTCTCATATTAGCGGGGGCAGGATTTCCTTTCTTAATTTGTCTTCCAAGTTACCCCATATATACTTTATGGGGTTTACGTCGGGCGACCGCTTTAAATACATCATATAGATACGTACAAATTGGATACACATAGATCCGTACAAATAATGAAAAAGAGATGATAGAGATAATTTAAAAAACCAACTACATTTTTACCACAGGCGCTTCTGGAACACGCCGCGAGTGAGCTGATGACCGCCGGCATGTACGAGACTGTCAACGAAGTGTATAAAGTGCTCATTCCGATCGCTGAAGAACATCGCGACTACAAAAAACTTGCCAACATTCATGGGTAAGCCACCACACGAAGCTGCTATTTTACGCTGATATTCTGCGAGCCCTATCAAGCTAACCCATTCGAGATAAAGCCATATTACAGCATGACAGTATCACCGATATGTAGGGCGAATGCCAGGAGTTGAGTAAAAGACCGAATCATGAAATAGGACTAACTTTATTATAATAATAAACTGGTTTATATAATGATTTCTTATATTTACGCGAACACTACACATTTAAATAAAACTAGCTTTTATGCATTGTATGGCGTATATTATAACTTACTTTATATTCCCGACGTTTCCAGCACTTTACTGCACCCATGGTCTCGGAGGGGACCGTTAGACGTCCCAATGTCATAATTAATAACTGCTACCTCCAGATTAAAATTATTAACTTTTGTCGTTATAAATTTCAGTAGAAGTCCGTTAATCCGGCATCCAACAGTCCGGAATGCCCGATAGTCCGGCATCGCTCTTTGGTTTTCGGTTTTCTTCAAAAGTGTGTCTTTAAAGCAAATAAAAACGCTCAAGAGCTATTCGGAAGTTTTCGGGGTAGTTCGGCATCATCCGGAAGCGCTCGGTATTGTTCGGAAACAATTACGTAGTTAGCGGTCGGCTAGTTAGCTCTTTTTCGCTTTTTTAAATCTAAGTGAAATATGTTTTACAGTACATGTACATACATTATGTATATGAAATGTAAAATAAACTTTGTTGTATGTACATACATACATATTTGCATACTGCATTTGTAGTTTAATTATTAACCTAATTGTTCTTATAATTACCGCCCGATAGACCGGAATTTTCGGTAGTCCGGCACCGAGCCGGTCCCGAACATGCCGGATTATCGGACTTCTACTGTACTAACGTTTTTACAAAAAAAAATCTGGGTTATATAGTTAACATGATTAATGTTGTTTGTAATTTAAAGTATTCTAATATATGTTACTAATTAAGGTTGTATTGCTCTGTATTTATTATTATGTTTCAATAAATGTTTACATTTTTAAAAATTATAAAATATTATAAATTTTATGCGTGACTTAAGTAAAATATAATATAATACAATATTCGGCTAGTTGAGTTTTTTTTAATATAGAATAGAGTGACAAACGAGCACACAGTCCACCTGATGGGTAAGTCATTGCTGGAGCCCATAGACATCTACATCTATCCTCGATTACGAATCAAAACAGTCCTTAGTCCTCACGGATGACAACGCATCTGGCGTTATCACCCGTGAGGACTAAGGTGGAATGCCTCGTTTCCAGTAAAAAGGGTCTCCGTTTCTCTACACTCACCGTACGAAACACAGCAGCATTATGCTACTATTTTACGCTGGTATTCTGTGAGACAGTACAGATGTACGTTGGAGTGAGAGAGTCGCGAAGTACCACGGTCACGCGGTAAGCGCAGGCGCAGGTGGTGTGATGACAGTGTGGCCACAGCGGGCCACACCTGGATGAGACTCGCACAAGATAAACAAAAAAGGCAAAGAATGGAAGAGGCCTTCACCCGCAAATGGGTACCCAAACAAATAATATATAATATCAATTCTTAGTAAAAATGATAATTTGAATATTATGTTATCATAATATAGTCTGCTGTAAATTGATTTTCATAACATGTTATAATTAACCATTACATATCTTATTATTACCATTATTAATTGGTTTAAATTGTTTGATTATGTAATCTCTCTTATTATTGGTGTTTGTTATTTGGTTTTAATAATATTACTTAACTCGAGTTATTGAGCATAATTTATAAATTTTATTCCAAATTCTGACTAAAGTTTGTTGAAGTTTTAAAGCGTGATTGCTTATGAAATTGAAATTTTGTAATATATTTTATTTTATGTAATTCTTTTTTGGGAAATAAAAACTTAAATAATAATATAATAATAATAATTCTGTTAGAGCGTGGTCCTTCCCCGGTCGAGTCGACCCATTCATGCTACAACTATACTAGCAATATAACTGCAGCATGGCTCTATAGAAGTCCCGCATGAGCGTGACTTAAGCGTGATTTTAAGTCATCGTGTACTATAAATGCATTGTTATGATGTATTCCTGTTGTGTAAATGTGTAAATTAGGCTTTAAGCTACAGCTGCTTTGCATTCCATTAAAATAATAAGTTGTATCTACTTTTAAGCAAACTAAATGAAGCGTTTACACGGATCGAGCAGCTGCACGGCAAACGAGTGTTCGGAACGTACTTCCGAGTGTCGTTCTACGGCGCACGGTTTGGCGACCTTAACGGCGAGGAGTTTATATACAAGGAACATGCGCTCACCAAACTGCCGGAGATCTTCAGCAGACTGGAGGTAAAACAATTTCCGTTTTATTAGGAAAATATTTTTAATTAGTCTCATATACATAGACTCACTTACTCATATATAAAAAAAAATATATATATATATATATATATATATATATATATATATATATATATATATATATATAGTTCAACTAAAGTATGTTTCCATGAAAGAAGAACCGTAAAAAATATAAATTATGGAAGTGACACCAAATGTCAAATTTCGCGAAGAATGACGCCGTGGCTAAGGGATTTTTTTTGTGACAAAGATTCTTCTTAAACCAGAGTCTAACAGAACGACGGAGGAGCTCCAGTTGCGTTCCGAACGTAGATCCCGGCACCCCTCGTATAGGCTGATGGTGAAGTCCGACATAACCATTTAGCTGCCATTGCAGCGAAAGGTACACATCTGGGTTTACCTTGAGTCCAAAACTTAATACTTATTACAATAATGATACATACATAAATCTTTCTCAACATTTGGGTATGTTCTGAGCATAGAATACTATAATACATACATAATAAAACGGGGGAGGGGGGCGGAGCCCGTGTAGCCAATAAAATGCCATTAACACGTCAATTCACACGTATAACTGTCAACACGAGATGCGTTTTGACATTACAATCGTTTCAAAATTTCGCATGCAAATTATTTAGAAAATGTCAAATTGTATTTACAAATAAATATATATTAAAATCCATCTGTCAATACAGCGAATAGGGTTTGTAGTAGTGATTAACTGATAATACGACGTAATTGCTTGTATGTGTGCTCCCGGCGACGCCAACCATCCTACAAAATAAGGTTGACAGCCATTCTATTGTGTATAATAGTGTTCTATGGTTCTGTGCGAACATATTTACCATCATCCTGGATTATGATATCGTCAGTGTCTCGTATATTGTTACGACAGTCAGTAGCGTATTGTATCACGTTGCACGAGAATGTTCCTGATGATAAGAGTCAATGATCTTTGTCAATTAAACAAAACGTGTAGACGTAAAATATACAACGCTGAAACTATTGATGCAAGCAAGACGCAACCTTATATACGCATTTATAAAGCATTTTCTCAATTGGACATATTTTTATCGTTTCGCAATCTCGAATTTTCTTGTACCTTCCGATCAAAAGAATGGAATGACATTCTTTTGATCGGAAGTACAATGTAAGCGACTACGGTCAATTGACCTACTACATCTGCAATTATTAAGGACTTCACCGAAGAAGCTTTATAATTTTGGACGAATGCTGTGTGTGTGGAAGAATACATCCATTCTCATCCTAATCAGCATTTTTACATATATAACTTTTATATACAATATTTACAATATACAATAGTTAATATAGTATTTAATTTCATTATATAACTTGGCAGTATGTTTCTATTATAATGTAGGGCCTATTATACCACAGAATAAATAATACTACTACTATAATTATTATTAATTAGACAAACCGCGCGCGCAAACTAAATAAAACTTTTGTCGCTGCGTCCAGTGTGTGTCCATATTTGCATCTTTTCCCCTTCCAAAGTTACCGCGGACTTTCCGTAGTTACTAAGGGATGTCAATAAAGAGTAAGAAAATACATTGCATAATTAAGTTACTTACATGAAGTATCTATTCTGACTATGATCGACTGACCATATTTTCACACGTATGTGAGTTCTGCGGTGCCCAACGCATGCATCTTGCAAGACCATTCGTCGGAATCGCGATGCTTGGCTCAGAAGAAACAACAAATAAACTTCAAATATGATTCCTAACAGAAATGTGATCGTATTCTACTTAGTTAAAAATCTCGTTAGTAAACAGTGTTTTAATTTCAGTATTTTGTTTTATTATAATTTAAAATATTTTAATTACAAAAGACAAGTATAGGTATGTAATTAGATACTAAATTACGAAGATGATCTGTAGATAAATTATTATTTAATTCTTATTTGTTGTAAGTACCTAAAAATGAAATAAATTCACCTGTTAAAACTTTCTACTAAAATCCTTCAGTAACTTTAAAGAATGATATATATATCTGAAACCTTTTGTTGGTCATTCATCCTCTATTCACGCAACATTTATAGTAGGAACGACTTTTTGCCATTACAATTGATCAAATAGGTAATATACATAATACCTACATATAACTTATAAATAAAATTAAAACTTTTTTATCCTACAACTAAATATACTATACACTGAACAAAAACTATTTACGTAAACAGCGTTAAAAAACTTTAACATTCAATCGCCTACAACGCGCAAGTCTCGACTGCGTATGTTACCCTGGGTGCCTCGCGATTGTAGGTAATTATTTCACGTAGGTAGCAAGAGTGACAGAGGCCTGCCTATACCTATATCAAAAAGTTAAAAATGTTATTTAGCAAATATTGTTTAATAAGGGTTATTATACTACTAAAAAATACATGATTAATAATAACCTTTAGGAATGAGGCGATCGCTACTACACTGTTTATATATGTTTTCATGTTTCATCGTTGTTAAAAATAATATATTGTAAATTTAGTTCAAAAAATGTCCCGCTGGATTTTTACTGGTTCTTCCCAGAACTAGTGCTAAAACAGAAATGACTGTCAATAAATATTCTTGTAATCTTAATCTATATTGCATAAAAATTATACTATTTCAATCTATTACTAGAATTTTTACGGGTCACGTTTCGGGACTGAAAACGTGGTGATCATAAAAGACTCCAACATCGTGGACCCGAGCTCGCTGGACCCCGACAAGGCGTATATCCAGATCACGTACGTGGAGCCCTACTTCGAGCCGCACGAGCTGCGCAAGCGGCTCACGCACTACGAAAGGAACTACAACATAAGTGAGTTTCTCTTTTGAAATTTAATATTATTGTTGTGACATTTACACGAATATAGTGAGTATCCACAAGCAGGAGCATGGAGCACAAGGGGCTTTTATACTAGCAGTCCACAATTCATCTGCTTAAGTCCTTCCTTACTGCTACGGGGCAGCTCCCTTTTTACTTTCTCTGTATATCCTTCTTTTTCGCTGTTCTATCTTTTACGGCCTGTAAAAAACAAAAAGAAACGTGATATTATTTAAAAAAAATAATAAATTAAATTGCCATTGCAATAAAGCTTCAGTACTCACTTGAAATATGCTTTAGTTTAATGAGCAAATCTAAAGTTGCAGCAGAGCATCACTATACTACTACATATTAAGTAAGCAGGATACCATTACAAAGTGGACCTGACGGCGTACAATGAAAGAACTCTGCGGCACGACGATATTATTGCAGAATTAGAAGTAAAGTTGAAAAATATAAGATGGTACGTTCTGAGGCCGAGTGAAGTTCGAAGAGAGGGAGAGGACACACTAATTCTAGAATCAGGCCGCCTATTCTACTATAACGAGAGACATGATCTGTTCCAGGGTGGAGTGGGCTTTCTCGTCTATAGAGTTCTCCGTGACAATATTTTGGAAATCTCCAGTGTGTCGACAGGGGTAGCGTATCGTGTTTTAAAACTAACAAAAAAATACTGTATAGGTTTACACACCAACTTCGACACACTCGGACGATAAAGTTGAAGCTATGTATGAAGACATAGCGAAGGCTTTACGCAACACCACTAAAGCCCACTGTAATGTCGTCATCAGGGACCTTAACGCCAAAGTTGGGAAACATACAGGTGTTGAATCGATTATGGGACAGCACGGTTTAGTAAGCAGAAACCACAGGGGGCAAATGTTGATCAAGTTTCTCGAAAAAGAGAGGCTTCATATATTTAATAAACTGAGATCGACTTAACCATAACGGATAAAAAGTACGTATTCAGTGATCAATAGGTTTAACACATGAAACTGTTACCGACTTGTACGAGGCATTCTGAATATCGATTTCGAAAGGGCTCGTCTGATGAAGTTCACTCTTCGACCTAATGCGTTTCAAACTGTAGCGGCATCCCAACGTTTCCAATTGAAACTCTGGAATTGATTCGATGCCCTAAAACCTACACTAATGTGGGTCCAAACATTGATTTAAATGGATGAGGGGAATAGGTTGTGTAGTACGCAACATATAGGCGGAAACTCTAAGCTCTCAGACGAGACACTTCAGCTTATGCAAAAGAGACGTGAGGCAACAGCAGCCGTTCCATTAGAACAGCTGGCACTCACCAGACTCGTAAGAGGAAAGCTGTACGGCGGGACTTGTGGCGCTCCAATGCAACCTTTATTAAAGAGGCAATAGAGCGAAGTAAGGGTCCCAAAGTCTTTGCTCGTAAGCTTGGAAGGAGCCACATTATGAAACTAAAGACATAATATAAACATAAGAAGGCAAAATCATCACGTTGAAGCCTGAGATTCTAGCTGAGTTCGAAAGCTATTGCGGTACACTATATGCCTCCAAAATTCAGCAACCTGACCCCAAATGCGACGATCCCAGAACCACACTAACCCGCCACTTTACCGACGAACTACCAGATATTTGTCTGAAGGATATCTAGGCAGCCCTAGGGCAACGTAAAAATGGAAAAGCCCCTGGAGAGGACGGAATTGCGACAGAGCTCTTGAAAGTGGGGGACAACCATTGTTATAAGAGCTCTGTCGAATTTTTAACTGCGTTTTACGTGATGGGAGAATTCCAAAGGAGTAGATGTATCACAGTCTTGTTTACAAGAGAGGTGACAAGAGAATGTGGAGTATTATCGCCCTATCTCGCTTCTGACCTACATCTATAAGTAATTTTCGAAGAATATCATGAATCGACTCGCGTGGAGACTTGACGAATTTCAACCACTCGAGCAGGCTAGGTTTCGAGGAGGCTATGGCACCATAGACATTAATACAGTGACGAATAAGTATAATCAGCCTTTTTGTGAACTATGAAAAATCCTTTGACTCCATCGAAACTTGGGCTGTTATGAATTCCTTGCAGTTGCCGGATTGACTGGCAATATATAGATGTCTTGAGACTTGAGAGATGATTTAGGCAATACAAGCGCGATGACCGTCCAAGTACAGGGTGGTCTTACAAAACCCATTCAGTTGCATTGTGGAGTAAGAAAGGGGGACGCAATATTCTCGAAACTTTTAACAAATGCAACTGTTGAAAATGCTGTTCACAAAGCAGCTGGGAGCAACGCGGGGACAATACGCGGTCACTTCACCCCAGATTCGATTATCGTTGATGGTGAGATTCTTGAAGTTTAAGAGTATATCCACCTAGGCCAGATAGAATAAAATAGATAGAAACAATGGCTGGGTAGTTTCGGGAATCTTCGCCAGGTCATCTCGTCACCTATACCGTAAAGCTTGAAGACGAGTCTTTGACCAGTACGTCTTGCCTGTAATCACATATGGTGTCGAAACGTGGGCACTACCGGTACGACTACTCCACAAACTCAGTCACCCAGCGGGCGATTGAAAGAGCTATGCTTGGAGTTTCCCTGGACTGTAAAACCAAGGTCATCGAAGTAGCCTCGTATTTGCAGGCTGAAGTGGCAATGAATGGGCTGGTCACATCTGTCGCAGAAGCGATAAACGTTGGAGTAGACATGTCATAGAGTGGAGACCGCTTTTGGGTTAACATAGTGTGGGACGCCCCCTGGCTAGATGAAGCGACGATCTGCGCAAGGCAGCTGGCAGCAACTGGATGCTTGTAGCTGAAAATCGGGCTTAGTGGCGCGCCTTGGGAGAGGCCTATGTCCAGCTGTGGACTGCCGCAGGCTGATGATGATGATGGTGATGAAATTATGCATTTTTAACTGCTGTTATCACAAAATTAGTTTTTTTTTCCTTTGGTAATGAACTGTTGTATTGTTGTACTTTTGCCACTGTTGAGTATATTAAGAAATTATCTTTTAAAACAATTTGTTTCAAAACTTTGTGAATTTTTTGGGAGATTTTATCGTCAACTTAACCCAGTAGAGTTGATGACGGTGGTATCTTAGAGCGCCTCCAAACAAACACCTTAGCTTGTGATTTACGTTACCATCGTTTTATCGTTCCCACTAATACTTCACATGCACAAACATTTAATTAAAAAAAAACAATATCTCAATAAAATTGTAGGAGCAGCAATAAACCGGCAGTCAAGTTCCCGCCAAAAACCTATAACTCTTGTACAATAATAACGAGGGAGAGGAATGGGAGTAAGTAGGTGAGTTAGATTGTGGTCAATTTGGTTGCAGAGCGATTCATGTACGCGACGCCGTTCACGGTGGGCGGGCGCGCGCACGGTTCGCTGGCGGAGCAGTGCAAGCGCAAGACCATCCTCACCACCGCGCACCACTTCCCTTACGTCAAGACGCGCATACAGGTACGTGCCTACACGCACTGAGCACACGCACGTTACTGATATAAGATACGGTCGTGCAAACAAACATTTTTCACGGTTTAAGCATAGAATAAATCAGCGCCATCTCTTAAAAACTTAGGAACTACCACGAAACCAGTATTCCCACTTATGATTTGTACCTAGAACCTGTCGAAATACTCCCTAAATTATAGTTAAAAAATCTAAATAGCCTTATTTATTACATCTTATTTTGAATATTTTAAAGAATATTGATGCAAGTTTTGATTATCATATCACGATTAAAATTCTTGAGTTTTGTGATAAAGAAGGCGTTCTCATTTCCAAATTATAATAACACTTAGTCTCATAGGAATTATGAATATGTAACTAAGTAAAATATTATACCATTATTCCGATATATACACAGAACGCAAAACTTTTTTTTTCTACACTTTTCTAGCTCTTTTGACTCTATTACCTTCGATAAATCTTTAAAAAAAAGGTGGGTATAGAAAACGGTTACCTGAAGTTCGATTTCACCCCAAATTATCTAAAATCCTGTCAACTTGAAGAAACGCCTAAAGCCCTACCTATATTAGTAGATTTACCCTAAAATAGTGCACAATATCTAAAAGTGGAAACATTGCACGGACGCACGGCACGCATATGAGCTCGCGTTGGTGCTTCATAAACTTTTTGGCACCTGTGTGTTGTTCAATGACCTGGTCCATACACATTAGTATAATAAGTCTATTGGTTTTAATTTCGTATTTTTATTTAATTATAAAACATTTCGAAAATACAAACTTTTACAATTTTGTTGCAGGTCGTACAGCGCACACAGATAATCCTTTCCCCCATCGAAGTGGCCATTGAAGATATACAGAAAAAGGTAATCATCGAGAGATGTACCTGTATGTTACACAAGCTTATCTAGCCAGCTAACTCCTTTCCGGTTTAATCATGAAACACGCTGGTCTTACTCAGGGGATAGGTACTTATCATCAATACCGAGAGCACATTTAGTTCGAACCCCGCCGGCACCAATGCAGTTGAAATTTGAAAGAAAAATCATTTTTGTGCAAGTAAGAACAAACAAAATATCCTGCGATCCATCGATGCTAACATTAATAATCATTTGAAAATCAAATTGAAAATGTAGTGTCACCCCTCGTTACCCCGATGGAATGCCTTGCTTCCGGTAAATAAGGGTCCCCGATTCTCTTCACTCACCACACAGAACACAGCAGTACTATCCTGCTATTTAACGCTGATATTCTGTGAGTGCATGGTTCTTCCCCGGTCCAGACGACCCATTTATGCTGCAGCCAAAAAAAAACTAAACTCATAACCAACCGAGCTGCACTAACTGCCTGAGCTAATTAGCTCGCGGCCTAATTAACTCCTCCATATAACGTAACGTCACATCCCCTGCTGAACACAAGCATCCCCCATATATTAACAACTGATAATGATAAAAAAATGTTGTTGCCAACCCGCCTGCCAAGCATGGCAACTATGGCAAAATCCCCCCTATAAAGCAATCTATTGGAAGCCTATGTTGAGCTGTAAACTTTTGATAGACTGAAACGAACGCTTAACTAATTCATGCGACATCCATATCGTGAGACAGAGTGACTGTTTCCTTTACGCTGTTGCCTCTATCCTGTTACACAGATCGCAGAACTAGCAGCGGCCACATCTCAGGAGCCTGCCGACCCCAAAATGCTGCAAATGGTGGTGCAGGGCTGTATAGGCACCACTGTGAACCAGGGCCCGCTCGAACTTGCACAGGTCCGTCACACGGTTTTGCTATTTTCTTTTGAAGTGGAAACTTCTTAAGAGTCTTTGTGATTTGAATATAGAAGATCTATAGGATTTTGCCTGCGAATGATTTCCTATTATCACGTACACTTAAGTTCCCATAAGCCACTTTTGTTGAAATTGAAAAATATTTTAAAAGTAAATAAAATTAAATTAATTTAAAAATTTGTAACAATAATATTTTTTTAAAGAATAGGGGAAAAAAGTATTTGCAGAGACATCTACAAATATCTTCGATTAAGAATCAAAACGCAGGTGCGTTGTCACCCGTGAGGATTAAGATGGAATGCCTCGTTTCCGAGATTCCGTTTCCGATAAAGATTCTTGAATAGCAGCCTCATACCAGTAAGCGAAGTGTAGATCCCACTAATGGAGTGAAGATCTGGTAAAAGATTATTATTTAGTTGTCAGATGCAGATAACTCAGGACCGTACGTTGTGGCATTCTTTGGGGAAGGCTTATCTTGAGCAGTATACTTGTGATGGACTACAATGATGATTATGAATTTTTTGGGCTTAACCCATAAGTATCGCCACATACATGTTGTGATGTAGCAATTCGTCAAATCAAATTAAACCTTACCCAAAGCAGATATAATCTCTAATTTTCCTTAAAAAATTATTCTACAGGTGTTCCTGGCGCCAGTGGCAGAAGGTAAACAACCGCCCACGCGGCTTACAAACAAACTGCGTCTCGCTTTTAAGGATTTTTCCAAAAAGTAAGTGTAATCTACTTTGTCATTTTTACTAAATTGATATTATTTGTAATTAAAACGAATTTCTTTAAAGATGTTAAAAATTCATCGGCTAAGATCCGCGTAATGAGATAAAATGATGATCGTTATACCGAGCACCTCCAGTCCTCACTCAGTTGCGTGCACTGTTCCCGTCACCATTCCACCCAACATCATACAACACTAGGAAAGACACGCCACCGTCCGTAGTCCGATACGTGTTTCGCCTCTACACGAGGATCTTCAGGAGAAATAAACTCTGCTATGGCTACATTGAAGTATTATGTACAACGCGGTCACATTAACTTGACGCATGGCTTTGATGACGTCATTTACAACAGTGTAACAGAGATCAGACAGCTAACCAAACTGACGATTGCCGGGCGAGCTAAGGGAGTGCGGGGGCTAGCGGGCGGGGCCTCGCATTCCAGCGATGCGCCGCAATATACTTACGTACTAGAACAGCTATTTCAAACAAAAAATGTGCGCTACTCTGTGTTCGCGGGGTTGGCTTTTTTATCATAGAATAAACATAGTATGATCAGTAGGTAATAGTAGATTGTATTGTTAAATGGTAAATTATATCGAGAACAATATTTAAATTTTGTCATTTATTTTGTATATTATATTTGATTATTTAATATAATATTAAATAATATTATATCACAATTACATTTTAATGATATTTTTATCTGAATATTTTAAAAGGTATCTATGTCAAATATTAAAAAAAACATACTAAGTGTATGTTTAACAAAACTTGTTAACATAACATTTAAATTTCAAATATATTTATTTAAATTAGAATAAGAGTCATTCATAAATGCTGGGCACGCGAAATAGAAAATGGACGAATTTATTCCACTTTGACTTTGATGTCGAAACCTAAAAATAAAATAAAAGAACAATAAGCAGATTTAAACATGAAAAATTTAGCCTTCCATGACACGAGATGGCGTCTAAGGAATAATTTGTTTTATTATTAATCTATAATACTTTTTTATTTATTAAGTATCTTTTAATCGATGAAAAGTAATTCCTTGGTTTTTACTGACATTTCTTGAATTATTTGTGCAATATCTAAGTACACACGACGGCATACTTTTATCAAGAGATTTTTTTTAAATCAACACAACACGTGACAACTCTATAAGCGCCTAGCGAGTGACTGATTAAAGTGCGGTGTATGAACCGCATCCGCAGTTGAGTGGAACAGAGTAGCTGAATGCAGTGTCGCCTCCAGTACGTAGTACATAATAGCTCAATGTATGACTAATATTCTTTTCTAGAGTTGCACATAAAAAACGAGTGCCTTTGAGGTTTTATCAAGATAGTTTCATAATATTAGAGCGTATTACATAGTTACTGAATTCCCCCCTCCCCTTTCTACCATTGGAGGACCAAAATGTCGGCAAGTCTTCGCGCTCTTGTTGTAGATATTAACAAAATAGCAAACATTAAAAATTTTGACTAAAATAAGTCACTTTAAGGACAGGTTGCACGAAAAATATTGTGTTTTAAACTCTACTTTGACACTCCAGAATTAATATTTTCTGAAATAAGTCAAATTCATCGAATGGATTTTTAAAATAGTTTATACATATTATTCGTTATATACAAAAAAGTTTTATTAAGCGATAATCATACAATATTTTAGATAAAATGAAAGGGGAGTGCTCAGAGGAAATATTTGGACTAATTCCACCATCGCACATCGCGATGCTATCCATACCATCTAGATGATAAGATTATTGATCGGCTACATTTTAATTTAGATCCTTTATATCATGATAATATTTATTTATTTATTTATTTATTACAAGATCCACAGCTCTAATTACAACGTATATAAAACTTAAGAAATAAACTAACAGCCAATAACGGATCTACTTTATACATTTTTTGACTTATATTAATTGACCGACAATCAATAAGTTTGAACTTATATTAATTGACCGACAATCAATAAGTTTGAGCTACAAAACATACTATTTTAGAATTAAAAATTAAAAACGGTGCATCTCTCTCTCTCTGATCTGTGTATCCGTGTACGCGCACGCGCGCGTGTGTGTGTGTGTGTGTGTGTGTGTGTGTGTAATATACATATAAACCATTTCCTTCAAGTACTTCAAGAACTTCCCTCTTAAACAGATACCTACTGCTATGAAAAATATCAGTAGCATTAAATTGGTTGTTAAAAGTTCTATGCAATCGACTGACCAATGCGTTTTGTGCGTAATTTGTTTTTGATCGTGTTACAGCAAATAATTTTGTGTGTCTCGTTCTAACTTTCGGGGCGCAGAAACTCAGTATTTTGGTTGATAGTTCAGGGCTATCTATATATCTGTTGCATATTCCGTGTAAAAAGGACATGTCAGCAAGTACACGTCTATTTTTGAGAGTCGTAAGATTATGATAATGGCAGGATTCATCATAATTTTTGAAATGGCAATGCGACCGATAATTTAAATGTTTTATGAATTTTTTCTTGCATTTTTTCTAAATCTTGAATACAAATGATATACTGAGAGTTCCAAATTATGCTACAGTATTCTAGGATGCTCCTAACATAAGTGTAATACAGTACTTTTAGGCAACCTATGTCTGAGAAGGGACGACTAACACGCAATACGAAACCCAGGCTTCTGTACGCTTTGTTTTTAATCATTTCTGTATGATCAGAAAATGTCAACTTGCAGTCAATGTGAACACCAAGATCCCTAACACAAGCCGATTTTGCAATTTTAACATTATTAATATAGTATTCAAAATTGATCGGATGTTTCTTGCGAGTAAACGAAATAAAAGAACATTTATTTATATTTATACCAATTCGATTATCAGTATAATATTGTTCTAGACGGTTAAGATCAGTTTGTAGGCCAGTACAATCCATATCGTTTTTAATTTTCATAAATATTTTGGTATCATCAGCGTACATAAGGAATTGAGCATGTTCAAAGCAAGCACCTACGTCGTACAAATATGTTGCATACAGAATATGCAAAAACGTTTAAAAAAAGTTACTTTTTGTTTACCGACTGTCTTACGCCTACTTGGTGCTGGACAAATCTGCCCCCGTTAGTTAAAAGGTCGCATCCAACAAAAAGTAAATTTCGAGGAAAAAAATCTTATGACAAAACAGGAAAAAGCCTGCTGTGTAGTAAATATGTTTTTTTGTCAAAATGTTAATGTATGATATTATTTTGTACACTTTTTTTATTATACGCATGTATTGGATTTTTAATTTTATTTATTTTTAATAAAAAAAACTAAAAAAAGCGTTTTATTTTAGCACAAAAAATTATACAAATCACTTCCAACTGAGTAAAAAAGGCGCAACAAGCCATATGCGGCTTTTATACTTAGCACACATATGATATTATATATTTTTAATTTATTCATATTAATTTTGCCATCAAAAACTTTTTGTTTTTGTTTTATAATAAAAGACGCTTCTGCAAAAACGTCACTTTTATTACAAATGAAATAAGGTTGCAATGATAAAATTATTTCTATTTTACCTATCAAGTAATTATTTCGTGGTGAAAGTCTTTATTTTAATCAATATTTATTTAAAAAATTCAAATTGAACAAGCTAACTCGGTCTGAATTTCGATCACTGAACAGAGGTTACAAAATTATATATATATATATATATATATATATATATATATATATATATATATATATATATATATATTAGGGTGGGCCGAAAAATTTTTTTCTATTTTCTTTTCGTAATAGCGATAAAAAGGTGCCTTATGGGTTGAAACTGGTATTTATGAAGTATTTTCAAATTCTGTTTTAGGTAACAGCCTCCGGATTGACTTTCAATTTTGGAAAAATATGATTTAAGACGTGTTTTCGCAACCCAGTAAAAAACGTTCTAATTGAAGTTTTACCAAGTTTATTAGTGTTTTTCAATAAGAAATATAATCAAATTTTGTTAGGGTAATACCAAACGTATCACTAATAATAACCAACGGCGTGAGGTGAGGAGGCGGGGAGCGGAGTTTGCATTTGGCGCGTTATGTTTTTTGCATCAGTGGCGCTGCGGCTTTTGAGGTTAGAGGTCGCGTTTTGCTCTGTGTCACAATGGAACGTACTCGAAAGTGTTATAAATGTCCACTGCTTGGTGAATTATATTATATTAAACTCAATATGCTGCCAACATATAAAGATGTCATCAAATACTACGAGTGGACGAGAAGGCAAGTCAAGTTTAATAATAATTCCCAGAAAGAGCCATCATTTTTCGAAATAGCAGAGTTAGTAACTAAACAAATTTAACAGATTTGGCTGAAAGCGTCGCTACCGACTGTGACACATGTAAGAGTATGTCAAATGCGTACAAAAACCTTCTCAAATCCCACCCCAAAATACCTAAGAAAAACATTGACACATTTCAGTGCGACAACAAAGCTCTCTTCGACATTTGTTCCTGCAAATGCAAGGACTTGAGCGCTTGCACCTAAGCCAAACAGCAAGCCTCAGCTCTAAGGAACGAAAAGTACCTACTGCTGAACGGGATTTTCTGATTGATCAACACACCTCTAGAAAAACACAAACAAATCAACTCGGAAAGACATTGAATCAATTGGAACGAGTCGAAGTATCCACAGACCTACATATTTCTTCTTCGTCTTCAATCACCGACGAAACTGATTGTGATGACTTCTTAGTGTTCGAGGAGCCCGGTACGTCTCAGCAAGAGAAGACATACCATGATATAGATTTTTCTGCGCTTTCGAAGACATGTAACAGGTTTGGAATATCCGACAGGGCAAGGAGCTGCTATTGCTTCAGTAGTTTTGAAAACTACAGACACGGCTGCCCCAGTAATTGACAAAAACAAATTGCGCCGGGAGAGAAGCAAAACACGAAAAACCATAATATCTAAAGACAAACCCCAACAAATACCCGCATTATATTTTGATGGTCGAAAAGATAAAACTCTCATAATGACAAGAAAAGGAGAGAAA